CAGAAGGGGCTGCTTTGTCCTGGCCTGCGGGGCATGAGCTCTGCTGGCCATGCTTTACCTGGAAGGTCGTACAGAGCCCACAGCACAAATGCTGTGTGCTACAGGGCCGACGCCTCCGAGTGATGCCCCAGAGCAAAGCCAGCAGCGCTGGACGCCAGCCGGGCACTCCCTGCCCCATCTCCGACCAGGCCTGTGCACACATAGAAGACAATCCTACCTTGCTCACAGCAATGGCTGGAGTTTAAACCCCACTGCTCATCGGTACTTATAGAGCTGAGCCAGTCTTTGACCTGCCAGCACAGCCAAGAGGGCTTTTCTCCTCAGCAGGGGCTGGTGATTCTGGGAAAACCCAAAGCATTGGGAAATGTAGCTAAGTACCCTGAGCGCAAGGAGATGTGCAGAGGGGTGAGGGACAGAGGGGGGGTTGGCCACAAGACTGGCACGATCAGTCTGGAGGGACCTTGCACCCATCTGGGGTAAAGCTGTGGGAGGGGAATGAGGCTTCGATCTCCAGCTACTACAGACTGGGCTGAGACCTCTCACAGGGGCCAGCTGCCTCCTGCCTGCCAGGAGCTGCTCTTCCACCTGCCCTTGGCAGCCCCCAGGACTGGCCACCTGGAGACAGGCTCCCCAGCAGGGTGGAGCTGGGCCCAACTTCCTATGGCAGCTCTGCTGTTTCTTATCAGCTGCTGCCTAGCTAGCACGCGCCTGCTCTACCCGCGTCCTCCCAGCCACAGCTCTTGCCCCGGCCATGGCAGGAAAGACGCGGAGGAAGCCACTGCAGGGATGCGTGGGAATCTGCCTGCCGTACCTGGGCTGGGCTGCAGGAAGCCGACCAGTTCCTTTCTTACTGACCTGAGCCTGGGAAGAGCCGTACCCTGCCCCTTGCAGCCTGCCCCTTGCCTTATGCAAAGGAGACGGAGGCACAGAGAAGAAGCAATATCCCAGGGTCCCACAGGATAGCTGTGGCACAGCCAGGGACAGACCCTACTCTGGCCTGCCCTCTAGCCATGCACCTGCCTTCCAGTCTGCCCTGCTGCCTCTTAGGCTGGCCTGCAAGCCCCTGAATGCTATGCATCCAGCTACCTGGATGAGGAGGAAGGCAGCCAAACCCCACTGCCAAAACCAACTCACGCAGGACGAGCTGTGGAAGCAGCTTGTGCCACCTGCTTCCCCAAGCTTGGGCGGATCCTATTGTGCCAGGTCCCAGCTACCCGCTCCAGGGGAGAACCCACCTCCTCATGCATGTCAGGCATCACAGAGCAGCAAGTGGTGCCCACTCAACTCGCCCCAAGAACCAGCCTGGCCCCATTAACACCATGGTGCCTGCTTGCCCAAGTGGAAGACAGGCAGACTCTAGTGCTTCCAGCTGGCTCAGACCAGTATCCCAGGGGAAGGTAAGAACAGAGCAGCCCCCATGGAAGGGCTGTGGCTGGAAGACAGGTGAGCACATGGCTAAGAAAAGCTCAGAAATAAGCCTTCCCATGAAACATGCTGTTGCATGGACGATACCCCCACCTCCAGGCTTACCTTGACTATGAGGGCTGCCAGGACCCCCAGCACCGCCATGATGATCAGGCCGATTTTGCCTTTGTTAAACTTCTTCAAGAGGAAGAACTTTGCCCAGTCTACTTTCTTCTGGCTGCCGGGTGGGTATCGGAGTTTGTTCGCGCCTTCCATGCCCAGCGACTTGATCAGGCAGGCGCGGCGATGGGAGAAGGTCTCAAAGCTGTGCCTGCCATGGTAAGCACCCATCCCGCTGGCCCCTAAGAGCAATGCATGTTAGTTAGCATGACGCTGGCTGGGCCAGGGGAGCAAACAGGCAGCACAAGGACAAAGAGGGGGCCGAAGGGAAAGCCCGTGACCAGAGTGACTTGCCCTGTGTCAGGTGCTTGGAGGGCCTCAGTCTGGGTCCTACATCACAAAGCCCCCAGCACGACTGGCGTCCCTAGCAGGCACTTCCTGCAAGGGCTGAACAGCCCTGGAGTCTACGTCAGCGCCTGGCCCTGGGAGAGGTGTTTCTAGGGCAGGGAGGTGGCCCCGTAACTCCTTCAGTACAGACAGAGCCTGCTGCAGAGAACATAGCCCCACGTTTCTGTGCAGGAAAGCTCTGCACACAGTGGCAGGCTCCGGGTGGGCACCTGAGCACCAGAAGATGGAAGGGACTCACCGACTCCGCCGAAGGGCAGGCTTGGGACGGAGAAATGCACAATGACATCGTTCGCTGTCACGCCACCGCTGGAGGTCTCCGCAATCACCTGTTTGATCAGCTAGTGGACGACAGAGACGTCACAGAAACCCGAGAACCAACCCAGGACAAGCTTCGAGCACAGCCTCCGTGTGCTGATCAAGGGTGATGGCCCCTCACGCTCTCTCTCTGTGGCCTAGTGTTGCCTAGACAGGCATACTTGGGAAACATCCCCCCGGCACAAACTTAAGGGCTGAACTTCGACCGTGGCAGTCCCAGAAGCATGCCCAGCACACACCGTCCTCCCGGCCACCTCAGCCACTTGCAGCACAGACATTC